AGAGAATTTAGATGAGTATAGAAAAATAATGATTTATTTACGAGTATTAACAGAGTTAACGCAGTCGACGTGCTGCATTTTAAATACAATTGTTATATGTTAACACAGATGTAAGCAAATTAATATGGTATGAGTGGATCCGTTTAAATTCAGTCAAAAGAACATATCTACATTAGAAAAGAAAGAATGTTTTTAAACGGTGCTTCAAAAAGAATATCCAAGCCAAACTGCCTTAGAGCTCTCTCTCTCTCTCTCTCTCTCTCTCTGCGCGCGCATGTGTGTATTACGCATGAATTCTTCTCTTCCATACCATTGAATAGCGCAGCGCAGATTTTATGCATTGCATACGGATTTTGCAAAAAAATACTGCATTGCAACGTTGTAAAAAAATCATTCTACATATACGATATTCTGTATCGATTGCATAGATCGCACGCGTTTTAAACATGTTAAATAACATTACCTCTGCTTTCTGTGTCTATTGGAGAAATAGTGTAACTTTTAGATTAACTCTCTAACTCCCGAAACAAGTCATATAAATTAGTAGTCTGCTTCGCGTCCGCTCACTTTAAAAGAATAAATGTGTAATTAGATTTTGTTTATACCATTAGTTACCTCTGCAAGAAGTAGACTCACAGAAATCTTCGCGAACCAAAGATTCTTTTATTTTACTTTATACCCGTTGAGGAAAGAAAAAAAAACACACATCGGGTAAGAACTGTTACCTCGTATTTTTCACTTCTAGTATCTCGTTTCGTTAACAAGAGCCCGCGAGTTCTGTGCAGGCCGAAAACGAGCGAGGCACGAAAGAAACGAAAGAGAATGTAAAGGCCGTGTACGCGCGAGGCGGGCGCAATAATTACGTAACATCACACGCGTAGACTCTCTCTATTACAATTTATAGTAGCTCGTTCGAGGAGCTAATCGCCGACTGGATCCTTCCGGTCGATAGTAGTCTCTCCGGCTCCCGCTCGTGTTTTCCGTCAATGCAGGTAGCTGTAGCAGGGGCCTCCTCGGCAGGTGATTACTTTTCACCGTTACCACGCCGTTTCTCTCGTAACCGGCGATGCATTTCCCCCGCGCGACGCGTGCAATTACTTATCCCACCGTTAGCGCCGTTAGGTACCGTCGTTGATGCGCGTTAGAGTCGCTCAGCGACGAGAGAGAGAGAGACGGTCGAATCCGAGGCACGGCGAAGGGCGGCGAAGACGAAGGATCGACGGAAGGAAAGAGGGATGAAAGCTCGTAAACGCAGAGAAGAGGAGAGCGGGCGGAGAGTCGAAGAGCCGAGAGCTGCTGGTCTGAAGGACGAAAGGATGGGGCCCTGTCGAAAGAAATGGAGAAAGAACGATGGGGGCGAGGAGAAGCGAGCCGAAGGGACGGCGGTAGGGGTAAACGAGGTATGGAGCGGCGGCTTCAAGGCTCGATTATGTGATATAAAGTTGCCAGAGTGAGGGGTGACGAAGGAGGTCGGAGAGGGATGCACCCTCGTTGATTGAGCCGCCACCTCCAACGTGCCGTGAACACATGTGCTGGTGGCAACGCTCTGATTGGAAGCCAGATGGGCTCTTCAGCCTCTTACTTCCAAGCACAAACTCTCACCTCCTCCTCCTCCTCCTTCTTCCTCCACGGCTTCCATCTTCAGTATCTCCTTCTTCGATATCCGAAACTCACAGTCACCCCGTGCGCAAAGTACCACAGTAAATGACTATCCCACGTCGGTTGCCAGTGTTTCATCTGGATAGATATCTGCGATTGCCACGGCTGGGCTTAGGACGAAACGGATTTAGCCGCGGAAAGAGAGTACCGGGGTATCGGAGTTTGCTCGCTATGCCTTAATACCGGTGCGATGAATGTCGATACTCATCTGGATTTATTTTGATTAAGTACATATATTAGCGTTTGACTTGGTATTATTAGCTTCATCCGGTGGAGTACTCCGAGCAGATCCTCCGAATCGTACAATCGTCCAAAGTTTTCTAACGTCCCCCATCGAAAGTTTCCGCGATGGTTTTCGCGAAATGGTACCATGCTTTATTCAGAATTTCGCTTCTTTTTCTATTGCGTGCCAAAGTTGCGGCTGCAATGACTGTTCTAACGTGCCAAGAGCTATTCAAAAAATCATTGAGTGAAGCCTACTGCTTTACGTTAACGGTGTCGTTTAAAGTTCGCAATATCACTTGGCCATTCTCACCTGATACGTCGCGATAGAATACATATTAACGAATCGAGTCGCAGAAAACTTTCCGAAAGCTGCGAAAGTGCGAAGCTCGTTTTTTAGTATTCAACATTTATAAGCTAATAAATATATACATGTATATATTTGTGGGTTCCTAAATACTTCTAAAATATTTAATACTTTTCAACACGAAATATACTAGCACGAGGAACAAAGAAAATCAATGGCGAGAATTCATGGCGTTGACAATTTTGACCGTAATAAGCGAAAATAAGAGACTTTCCAACCGAGATCAACAAAGACTTGTTCGCAGCAAATATTCGTTTTCGCGCGATAATTGCTCGAGTTTATTTAACTTCGTAGTTCGAGGATATCATTTGTGCTCGACATGCGAAGCCTATTATGCGACGAATGTCCTTTATTCGACGTCGGTAAGAAATTCTAGTTAGAGTGAGTCGAGCTGGCCGTATTCTTCAAATCAGCGGGTGGCGTCACGTTCTGTCTAATGCAGTGACATCATTACCGGGCACAGTTATATCCTCGTAACAGAGACTCGCCGTGATTATATTGTCGCGACAGTCGTAGCAGTAATTACAATGGCAACAGTGTGGCTTATTAATATTATACATTCGTAATTCCGATTTTTCCTCGACTTGGGCTCGTTATCCTTTATCGATCTCCAATTCTAACGGTTTGCACTGGACGCGGAAGAAAACGCGACATTTCTTGCGTGCATCGTGGCGGTTTACGAGTGGACATAAGCGGGCTTGTTAGGACGAGGATGGCACGAAGATTTTCACCGAAGGGGTTTGTCAGGACACAAGGGACAGTTCACCGGCTGTAGCCGCCGGCGGTCCCCAGAGGTGGCGACCCTGTTGCAGGCCGAACCTGGCCTGCGGTCGCTGGCTTGTTAGATCCAGTTTGGGGTCGCGGGCCATCGGGGCTGAAGAGGGACAGGGGGAACTGGGAGGACTAGGGTGGAGGGCGCTACTCTTCAGTAGACCGCAATCGGGTATGCAATTTACGTGGTGTCCGACCTCTGCGATCCGAGCTGCCATCCCTCCCCCCCCCCCCGTCTTCTCGAATCGGTGCTTCCCAACCCGCTTCCACTGCCTCCCTGCCCCGACCCCTATCCTTTCCGTCCCACGCATTTCGAGGATTCGCACTCGTGGGCCAAAACGAAGGGGTTGGGTGCGATGCTGCCGGCTCTCTGCATTCGATACGCAACAGTGAAAACGTCGCACACGGATGGTAAATTCTGACTATAGCTGGTTGACGAGAGAGAGAGGGGGAGAGAGAGAGAGAGAGAGAGAGTGAGAGATAGAGAGGGGGGGGGGAGGGGAGAGATTGGCGAACACGGGCTGAATGAAGCGGAAGAACGAAAAGCTGTAGCTGTCGCGAGCAGAAGTTTGTACGTTGCTTAGGTGGGAGTTGGTTTCTTTTCTCGCGTTGTAGAAGGTAGCCACGATTTCACCTGGCCGGGGATCTCTATAGCCGGTAACGCGCAGGAAATTGGTAACAGAACGACTGCTTGAACACGTGAACTAACAATCTGTCGACGTCAAAAAATGTTTCCGTCGCTACTTTCCGTCAAAGAGTCTGCGCGCGTAACGTCAGACAGATGGAAACCACTACGCAGAACATTCGCAATAAATAAATGTTCGATTTCTCTCCCAAACGATCCTACGGCGATGTATATTTGCACGTAGAAAGGTACAAGTAGTAAATACATTGAAGACAAAGGAATCGGCTTGTCCATTTTGCATTAGGGATCAATGTAATCATTATAAGCGTTGAGCAGTTACATACATTACTTGACTATATCCGTTCAAGCAGACCCACGTGCTAAAATCTCAGGCTGTTCGACGCGTACCAATGCAAATGTCAGGTCGAACGGCATTATCCGGCGTAACGTGCATGTTAATCAGACGAGGTTACGTCGGGCACCAGCACCGGTGGCATAATTCGCTCAATTTACAAGCATTATCGCGCTCGTTGCATTTAATCGCTGAAAATTAGGTTACGCCACCGAGCTGACGTGACCAGCGCTGCCGGCTTTTGCCGTATTAAAACTTTTTTTCACGCTTTTAAGCACTGAGCTTGCAAAAAAAAATGGGAAAAAAATGGAATCGCGATGATTTAAAAAGCGTTATAAAAGCGTTTTCAGTTTGCCAGACCATCGCGATACTCGTAACACCGTGATGCTTCTGATTTAATACGATGATGAAAATGGAGATCTTGTGTGCCAGGCGCATCTATATTTACATGAAATATTATTACACAAATAGAGTAATACGCCACGTGAAATACGTAGGTAATCCGAGTAGTCTTCTGTTAACATTTCCAAGCGTCGTTATGATCGTCGGCAACACTCAACCAGACAGGCATCTACTTTCACCTCTATGAAATTTATGTATGGAAATATTCGTATGTGCATAACGCGACGTGGAATATCGCATCCAGCAGCTGGAGGCGCAGCCAGCCCCCCCCCCCCCCCTCTGTGACGACATTTCGTGGGAAAATAAATTTCTAGCCTAGCGAAACCGCCAACGGAGTAGAGATGCGCGTTCGACTTTTTTTTCCTTGCCGCTTTCCCGGCATATCTTGTACCGATTTTCACCACATTTCGAGGACGTCATCGTCGCAAATCCAGCATTTTCGACGAAAAACCCGCGGGCACGATAAAGAAAAGCGACGAAGTTCTTTTCACATACACGTACGTGTCGCATATACATACGTGTCATATCAGTCGCAATAACACTTTTTAAAATTAACCATATATATGTATATATATATGAAGTAATCACGGAAATATTTATTCATATTCAAGTGTTTGATATATTTTTATTGCAATTCAATTCAGATGCTACTGCAAGTGATAGTTTATCTGATTAATTGTAAATAGTGCAATTACAGTTATGCTACTTTCTAGTGAAGTCATACGTCAAATTTCGCCATTGTTTTCATCCGCGGTTGGTTTTACATATTTATTAGCCTTCCATTGCCAAAAATGGACTTGCATCCATGACGATCTCGCGTCTTCTTCTACCTGCAGCCGTTGGCGCTGCCGTTGGCGCTGCCGTTGTCGCTGCCGTTGTCGCTGCCGTTGGAGCTGCCGTTGGCGCTGGCGTAGTGGTTGTCGTAGTGGTTGTCGGCGTAGTGGTTCTACGGCGGCATCCAAGGCTTTGTCCGCCGCTGAAGCCGCCGAATCTTCCGCCGCCGAATCTTCCGCCGAATCTTCTTCTGTCGAATCTTCTGCGGCCCCATTGTTGTTCCTTTGCACAAAATAGCACATCGTTGTTTTTCGGAAATTTATCGACAAGCGATCATGTTCGAATAAAAAACTTACGGATTCCTGGAACATGGCGCACACCATGATCGCCACGATCAAGAATATCACTGTTAGTCTCATGTTGCAATCTTGCGCTGCCAATGCTTGCACTGCTACACTGTCTTTACAGGCATCGCAGTGCAGCTGTAACATTTATATACCGCGCCGCTGAATAACGATCTATTTGTTAAGCATTGATAATGAATAATGATGCGCACCTGTTTTGCCACTTGCGTAGCCTATTGTCAACTATATTCCGAGTATAAGGGTAATAATTAATGATTTTACAAAGCATCGTTCCGCATTCTTTGGGATATTGTTATCGCTGATATGAAATTGTCATGTGCATGCACGTGGAAACGACGCCAGACAAGCATATTCAAACGAATTCCGGCGTTGCAGAAAAAAACGTAATGTTCAACTTTAAAAAAAAAAGAATAGCACAATCATTTGTTAGATATTTTATGTTTCTGTTTTTTTTTACTTATAAAAACATAGTGTCTGAATTGTTATCGACATGTTGTAGAACACGACTGAGGTTTGTGCATAAATTAAATTATACACTGAGTATACGTACATAAGAAAATTACATGAGAGAAACTATTATATTATATATATTACGAAAGCAGATGTACGATATAGCAATATTTGCATTTAATGCGACTTGCGAATAGAAATTAGGATACTTTCTCTCCATAGAACTGCAAAAGACCGAAATTACTTCCGCCGTTATTAGATCGGGGTATTAACGAGGCATCGCGCTCTTTTTCCGCCTGTAATCGGATAATACGTCGACAATGACTATCACGGGACGTATTACGGAAGGGAATACAAGGCGGATCCGAGCCCTACATGCTTCCAGGGAGGTTATACGGTAATACAACCTTCTCTCTCCCTCTCTCTGTCTTTCTCTCTGGCACCCTCGTCAACTCACACCACTCACGCCATACCCCAACAATCGAAGCCCATCGCTCGTTTGGTATTTAATCCCCTCTTCCTCCCTGTTGTCGGCCGATTTGATAACGCCTGGCAGCACCTTACACGAAAGAGGGCGACGGGATGGTGGGAAGAAGAAGAAACGCGAAGAAAAGGGTTCGCACCTCGTGTAAGGGCGTCTTTTGATTTATATCGTCTCGTCTACCGAATGACGGCGAGCATCAATCATCTGAATGGAGGTATCGACAAGAGGCGTATGAGCCATCGGGCAGGCGCGTAATGCGAATCTCGCGTCCCAATTCGATGCACCAAATAAACGCATGGAAGGCAGAGATTTCAACGTTTCTCGGCTATTGTTGTACCCTTCTACTTAATTTCATGATTTTACGGTCTTGAATAGAAATACTTTTCGTGAAAGCTATCGAACTTTGTTATAGAAAGATAGGAGAGTTCACCGAAATTATTACATCGGAGTTAGTCATGTTTATCTTTTTACACATATTTTTAACAACTTGGGAAACCGTCTAACAAAAATAATTTGAAATATCGTATTAGTTTTTTTAATTATAAACAATTCAAAAGAGCGTACAAAGTACGTGAAACTTATTTTATAATATATTGAGTAAAATTTAGCCGTGTTCTTTACAGATTATATCCCGAAATTTTCAGACTGATTGTTGAAAAATGCAATATTTTATGTTGCGAAAAATGTAGGAATTATTTAATACGTTGAATAGTTTTTTTCCTATTTTCGAACTTTTTATCAGGGTAATCTTTAATACCTGTAAATAATGTTTTAAAATTACGCGACGAAACAAATAATGAATTACTAAATTTATTAAAACTAATATTACATAAATAACATATATAACAAAAAGTGGATATCACGTATGGATATAAATATTTCACTTCTTTGATTTCTCGGATAAATTTAATCTTTACACGGATCATGGATCAATATTAATTTCATATCTGCATTCGAAGCTTTATAGCCAATCAGATTTTTAATTACAAAAGTGCAATTCCATTTTACAATTATTTAGAAAAACAATGCGATAAATAACGCATGTATTATAATCTAAGGAAAATATTGCAACATGTTATAAAAATAGTGCTAGACAAATTGTATAATTTTGCGCTGTATTTGTAACAATAAGAGTATCACCGTAATTAACATAAATATTTTTACAATGATGAAAAACGATGATGAGGGAAATTATTAAAAAATGTAATATACAACTAACTTAATTTTAGTAACGCTATTCTTTTTTTTGTATTTTATTTTCATCGCTTTATAGATTTTGTTAGGTTGGCGCGTGCATTTTTTTCCCCCGAAAATGCGCTTCGCAGTGCAGGATCATCTTCCGTGATCGTGCGCGGCTGGCGCACGTGCGTGATTGGCAGAAATTCATTTCGCACGATTTACATGCCGCGCGGAAATTGCGTGTCTGGTGCGCGTATGCCACGAGGCCCTTTGTTTAGATGGCAACGTTTGTCATCGGTTCTCTCGACGTAGGTGAGTTGTCGTCGTACGGCAGACATTACGGGGATGGCGGTGGGAGGATGACTTGAAGATAGGCGCCAGAATATTGGGCACAGATGCAAGCAGACTGTGTCAAGATTACTTACGATCTTGATAATACCCAAAAGTTACATCATGCAGATCGCGAGGCTTTTGTTCGATCCCCGCAATGAATTTCGATTCACAATGACTTCGTCTTTTCCTCCACGATTGTTCGTGCTTGCCGGTTTAAATCAACTACCAGTCCAAATTATGTAAATTACTACTTCTAATTTCTTTCATATATTTTCGCGTATCCGTTATTTCCTCCTTTTCACGCGTCTGTAATACCACAGACTGTCAATCAGTTAATAGGAACTTTGAAAACGATTGACAGTAAACGAACGTAATAAAAAAATCACGCTCGAAAACCGGGTAAGGGAGCTTTTAATTGAATTAAACGAGGCGTTACATCCAGTTGAAAGTATTACAAAAATATTTTTAAGAGATGAATATTTCTCACGTAAACGCAGCAATTGCTCGTGTGCACATGTGCGCGTGTATGCGCGCCGGTTGCACTATTCAGGCCGCATGCATCGAGGTCCGCGATGTTTGCCGATCAAACAGACTTTATAACGAGATGAGCGCGTGCAGCCTGTTGACGGAAAATATTGAACGAACGTAAGCTCCCGGCATTGTCCTCGACAAAAGAGTGGCCAGTTTGTATGCGTCCAATGGAGGAACGCACCCCTCACTAGCAGGACGACCCCTCGCGATTCTTGGATCCAACATGAAACAGGCCTGTTCAGGCCTGTATCGAGTGCTCCTGACATCGATTCATGGAATGTCAATTTAATAGCTGGGATCGACATTTGCTCATGATTATCTGAACAACAGTTTTCTGTTGAGAAAAATCAGGAAAATAGTCGTATGGAAAAATACGGTTTTTCGATTTTACGTCTAAATCGTGAAAATTGTATCCGCACCTTTCGAGATATTTATCGCACCTCGAGTAGCAAATAATATATAATATATAAATTAGTTCCAAGAAACGTCGAAAAAAGGGGAAGACTTATGGTAAAAAGAAAATTACAAAGTAGTAATCAGTGGAAGTTTTTGCAACCCACGTCATTTATGGCTTAATTGATCAATATATCTACGTTTAACTGAAGGAACAATTACTAACTGGTAGAATCTAACAAACATCTGATGCACTGACGACCGATAGGAGCGCGTGATGAACACTTGAGATAGAAATGCAAATTAATCGACGCAGTAATCGCAAGTGATCCATTCACCTATGTCCATCCTTCTCCCACCAGCCCTCAAACAGTGGCCTGGTAATGGGATAGCCCCGACCACAATACACCCTTCAGTGAGGCGGAAGAGAAACAAGGAAACAGCATTACCCGGGAAACGTGTCGGTAATCCCGACCGATCCAAGAACCATCGGTATCAATAGATGTATCAGCTTTAGTGTTACTATCATCGAAGTCAAGCCCGAATCAACGTTCGAAACTCCAATCGATAGTACGGAGCTTGAAGAGTAATCGTATAAAAACAACGTACAATGCGAGACCATACGTTTGGATCCTCCGTACGCTTAAGACGTCAATCTCAATCAACATCTCGCAACGCGTCTACATTGTAGTTCGGATAACGACATGATGCGAAGCGTAAATTGTGTATTGCCGCGATAAATTACACTGTCCGTGGAAGCCGTCGGCAGTGTTATCATTGACTAATGAAGTGATCGGAACGAATTGACCTATGCGAGCGACGTTGTTTCGGGCGGATAATTGGCGCGCCGTATTACCCCAATTTCACGGAAGTACATCGACACAAAAGATCGATCGTTCGCTCTGCGCTGATCGAGGCCAGGATGCGTTAAGCTCAGGATCGCGTGAATGCGAGCCCGTATGATCCTCGTGAATTTCCACGAGGTTTCGGTCAGTTGGAGAGGAGAACGGTCACTCTCGAGATCCAAGGATTTAGGCGTGTGATGCTTGATGAAGAGGCCATTGCACTAAGTCTAACCAGCGCGCAGAGGATCGGCCGTTAGGAACGTCGCTGGTGCTCCGTTAGGCGGCTTACGAGGCAGTTACCAGGCCGTTACCATGTCGATGGTGCCACTTGTCTCGAGAGGCTGCTACCTGCTTCAGCCTCACCCAGATGAATGACGCGATTTCGGCTTGGCTATCCGGTCGTACCTAGCCCATCAATCGTCTGATTGGCCTCGAGACGATGACTGCGAAATGCTGATAATGTTTCTGTTTTTACGCCTCGTCAGAAATTTTTCGAGTTTTTGCTAGAAAATCGCAACGCTAAAGATTTGATCTTTTTTCGAAATGCACGTATAGTTAGGTTTAATAATATTTTCTCTTAGTCCCAAACAACGGAGTGCAATACTTCGTATTCTTGTCAAGTGCATTTTTAACAAAATTCTAATGAAAATTTAGAAAGAACAGTTACCGTTAGTTCTGTCGTATAAATTTAATTTATTCTGCATTATTTTTTTAAATAATTACAAGAAAGTAAATTTATGGATATTTCATAAAAAATTTCTAACCTACGTCGAACGTGTTGTGCATCGAGACATACGGATGCAAGGAAGTAAATGGAAAAGGACGAGGAAATAAACGGCGCCTTAGGCGCGTCGTCGGCTGCTGTTCCTCGTAGATAAAATAGACCAGACCATCCGAGAGTAAGATAGATGTCGAGCTGGTCGAGC